TGGAGAAAAGGGAACCCTCTTACACTGTTGGTGGGAATGCAAACTAGTACAGCCACTATGGAGAACAGTGTGGAGATTCCTTAAAAAACTGGAAATAGAACCGCCATATGACCCAGCAATCCCACTGCTGGGCATACACACTGAGGAAAGCAGAACTGAAAAAGACACGTGTACCCTAATGTTCATTGCAGCACTGTGTATAATATCCAGGACATGGAAGCAACCTAGATGTCCATCAGCAGACGAGTGGATAAGAAAGTTGTGGTACATATACACAATGGAATATTAGTTATTAAAAAGAATGCATTTGAATCAGTTCTAATGAGGTGGATGAAATTGGAGCCTATTATACAGAGTGAAGTAAGTCAGAAAGAAAAACACCAATACAGTATATTAATGCATATACATGGAATTTAGAAAGATGGTGATGATGACCCTATATGGCAGACAGCAAATCAGACACAGATGTAAAGAACAGACTTTTGGACTCTGTGGGATAAGGCGAGGGTGGAATGATTTGAGAGATTAGCATTGAAACATGTATATTATCATATGTGAAATAGATTGCCAGTCCAGGTTCGATGCCTGAGACAGGGTGTTCAGGGCTGGTGCACTGGGATGACCCAGAGGGATGGGATGGGGAGGGAGGTGGGAGGGGGTTTCAGGATGGGGGACACATGTACACCCATGGCTGATTCATGTCAGTGTATGGCAAAAACCACCACAATATTATAAAGTAATTAGCCTCCAATTAAAATAAATTTTAAAAACTTGACATTTTATTACATGTAATATATCCCCTATTGTTTTTTAAAACTTGATAATATTCTACTAAGTAAATGGATTCTAATTCACTAGACTCAATTGTTGGACATTTAGGTGGCTTTCATTAAAAAGTAAATTAGTTGTATCTATTTTTAGGAAACACTACATCTTTAGAAATATTTAATTGATTCCACTTTTACAGTAACAGCGAGACATTTTTTTTTTTTCTGAGGTTTGTGTGTATGTATTCAGATCAAGAGGATGTTTCAGTATTCTATCTGTTGGGACTGCAAGCAGGGAGTGTGGTCTGCATATCAGAAGAAAGGAACAGGGAGAAAGGGCTGATGCCTCCCAGAGGCAAGGGCAAAGCTCTCAGTTTCCTAATCTCAGGGTTTCTTAATCTGAGTTATTGGCAGGATGATCACCCAGCTTGGTGTGCCTGGGACTGGCAGTTTCCTGCACTGTGAGACTTTCAGTGCTAAAGGAAAGAAAGTCCTCATGAATTGGTCCTCCTCCACCTTGGTAAGGAGGAGGTGAAGGAATTGAGAAGGGAATGAATCATTTCTATAAGCTATCCTTCGTCATAAAAGCAGAGATTCAGAGAAAGCCTGCTCATGCATGGCAATGTGAAACCCTGATACTTTATGAAGGAGCCAAAATAGATATTTATCTCAAGTTACTTCTCTGCTCCCCCAAAAACCATTCATTCATTTAATATGTAAGAAATACCAGGCACTGTTCTAGGCATAAGATGCCTGGTTTTGTGGTACTTTTATTGCTCTGTGTGTCTGTGTGTGTGTACTGGGGGAAGGGAAGCAGAAATAAATAAAAAAGCATAAAATAAATGAAATTAGCTATGATAAATGCAATAGCAGAAACAATTTAATGCAATAGAAACTGCGAGGGATAGGGTTGTGCTATTAGCTTGGTGTTGGAGGTAGATTACTCCAAAGAGCTGACATTTGAGGCAAACCAGTGATGAGAAGGGGCTTCCCTGGTGGCTCAGTGGTAAAGAATTTGCCTGCCAATGCAGGAGACTTGGGTTTGATCCCTTAGTCAGGAAGATCCCTGGAGAAGGAAATGGCAACCCATTCCAGTATTCTTGCATGGGAAATCCCCTGGAGAGAGGAGGCTGGTGGGTTACAGTCCATGGGCTGGCAAAAGAGTCAGACATGACTTAGTGACTATGAGGAGCCAGTCAGTATCCACAGGAGGCATTAGGGGCAGAAGGATCCACATGTGCAAATGTCCTGAGTGGAAACAAGTTGTTCTTCCTGGAGGAACTTAGGAGAGGACTTTGTGCACATGCTGTAGGGGAGGACTGCTGACCTAGTCTCAGTCTTAGCAACCACCCAGTCTAAGTTACATTTTCACAAACAAGGATGATAAGGATGCTGAGGCCCACTTGCATGGAGCATAAACTCTTGATTCCTAATTCAGCACTCTTTACAATAAGCCATGCCACGCTGCCATTTCTAATAGCTTGGCTTGCATACTTAATTTTCTCCCCCTGTACAACTGGAAGTAAATCAAAGAGATTCATTTATTTTAGCTATTAGAAAAATTGGAGTTGTTTGTGGGCAGACACAAGGGCCACAACATTGGCCTCAGGTGAAGAAAAGAACTCTGGGGTCAAGATTAACCTCCAGTGGTGGGACCCCAGCAATTCTGTAGGACATGCTTCCAGAACATCAGGTTAAGACAAATTCTGCAGCCCATGGAAATGAAAATGAAACTGGTTGGTAAGGTGAAAGAAAAGTGAAAGTTGTGTCTGACTCTTTGTGACCCCATGGACTGTAGCCCACCAGGTTCCTCTGTCCATGGAATTCTTCAGGCAAGTATACTGGAAGGGGTAGCCATTTCCTTCTCCAAGGGATCTTCCCAACCCAGGATTGAACCCAGGTCTCCAGCACTGTAGGCAGATTCTTTACCATTTGAGCCACCAGGGAAGCCTAGGAATACTGGAGTGGGTAGCCATTCCCTTCTCTAGATAGGCAGCCGTCACAGACCTGTCACCCTGGCACTGAACTAGTGCCAGGTAAGACCTTGTGGTTGAAAAAATCCAGAGTTGAGCCACAAATAGCAAAGAGTTTAAAGGGCAAAGAAAGCAGGTAGATGTGACTCTGGGTGTGCCAATTAAAGAAAGGCGGAGGAGAAAGCAGATGCAGTGATCAATTAAAGTTACAGGGCTGGAATCCTGACTCCTCCAGCTCCTCCCTTCATCTCCCGCCCTCTGCATGGGCGACAGCCACCAAGGGTTAAAAGAATCGCGACGTGAGCGGTGATTTTGGAAACTCAAAGAGTTAATGTATCAAAAACTAAAGCCGGGGAGGAGAGAAAGACTGGAGCCAACTAACGGGAGACAAATCCTATTGGCATCGAGGAGGCAGGAAGCCAGCCCCTGGGAAGCGGGGGCAGGACGAGGCAGCTGCCCGCAGCCACAGGGAGTCGTCGCCGCGCGTTCGGCCGGCGCGCCCGCCTCCGCCCGCGAACTCCGCGCTGCGCTCCACCGCTCACATGTGTGCTGCCCGGATGCCGCCCCTGGCGCACATCTTCCGAGGGACGTTCGTCCACTCCACCTGGACCTGCCCCATGGAGGTGCTGCGGGATCACCTCCTTGGTGTGAGCGACAGTGGCAAAGTAAGCGGGTGCGGGGTCTGGCGCACCCCGACGGGCGGGCGGACAGGTGCGAGGAATCTCGCCCGGTGAGCCGCGGACCCCGGAGTTAGCTCGGCGTGGAGTTGAACTTAAGGGTTTGTCTCTTTCCGGGAGAGCCCAGGCGCTGGGTTCGTGGGCTGGACTGGAAATAAAGTGTTCCCAGGTGCTGGGAGATGTAGGGTACGATTGGTTCCACAGCCGTGCAGGCTTCTGTGGAAGGGGGAGCGAGGCTGTACCCTCTCAAATCTTGAGATCATTAATAAACTAGCACCTCGCTTCATTCATTCTCAGGCTCCTGGCATAGTGCCTAGCACCGCCTAGGCTCTCCGTAAATTTGATTGAATTTATTGTGAACGAAATAATAGAAGGGTCATTTGATCAGTGTTGTTGAGCCCTTTCAGTGCATTTGAATAAGAACTGATTTCATTCACCTGATTATTCAGCAAACAACATATTGATACTAATGATCCAGACTAGACGACTTGTAATACTAGAAAGGATAGTCCGAGAGAAATTTACTGCCTCACCGCCCCCTCCCCCCACCCCCAGCCATTTGCATCAAAACAAGCAGTTCCATTTTAAGGTTCAAAATGTCTTCTGTGAGTGTATCTTTCGCACTTCTGTTTCCAAAAATCAGGATTTCTACAAAGACGTAGGTAACTTGAGTGTTCCATACACACCAGTGTTAACTGTATAGGCAGTGGCCTGGCAAGTTTCAGAGGAAGCCATTCCGTTTTTAGGAGAAAAATTAAAGATAGATGGGATATTTTTGAGCTTTTCCCCAACTACCGGTTTAGTTAGCAAAAGTACACGTATTTGTGACTTGTCAGCTTGAAGATGCTATTCCTGACTAAAGATGCTTCCTAGTCAGTGACAGTTTTGAATCATGACTTTTACATTTGGGGATAACTAAACCCTGTTTTCTTATGGTGCTTAAAAATCTATACTCTGTATATTCAGGGAGCCTGCTGTTGTGTTTCCAAGGTGATGAGACTCAGAGCTCCTCCAACTGGGAAGACTCCAGTAAAGCCCGTGGCTAATGAATTGTTGCCTTGGGTACTTGACCCTCAGGCTTCAGGGACCCCTTATGCTTGGGGCAAGTCCCCAGAAGCAAAGGAAGAGAGACTGCTAAACTAAGGAAAGATGAGAGGTATTTGCTTAATCACAAGAAGCTGTTCAACAATTAGGTTTCTTTTATATCTACATTTCCATTTCCAAAATTTGAAATGGTAGGATAGCAGGTGAGAGAATTGGCTAGTGGATTGCCTTTAATCAGTGGTAAGGAGGAAGAAAAGGAAGTAATTTATCTAAAAAATTTACCTTTCCTGGGGGTTGTACAGAAGAATAAAAGAGTGTCCTGAACATGCAATTAGTAGTTGAGTCAGGGAGTCTATTTGTAACTAAGGAGCATACTGAAGTTATAAATTTAGAAAAATGCCATTCCCCCACAAGATAAAATTAGCTAGGAATTGCATACAAAGGTAAGTTAATCAAGTGGATTAGATTTACAGTATAAAATGCACTAATTGATCAATTGGTAACTGTTTATCCCTCTCCTCTAGGTGCAAGTAGTTGATTCCTGATTGTAAAGCGTGGACTTGTCACGTATATATTAAGACTTGATTTCCCTAATTTTGAAAGTGGGACTGCCTGGTCTTTAGAGTTGCTGGGATAAATATATTATTCATTAAAATGTTTTCAAGGTTCTTATAGACAATTATATCCCCTCAAAGTAAATAAATATGCAGAATCATCTTGATCTTTGCATTTTCACTGAGCACCCAAAGCTGTTTCCAAACCTTGGGATGAATCAGAAACATCTGGGGTGTTTGTTAAAATGCCATTTCCTGGGTATCATCTTCCAGAGAATCTGAATCTGTAGACCTGGAGTAAGTCCTTGGAAGTGGCAGTCACAAAAGTCCCAGGAGATTTGGGCATGGGTAGTAGATGGGTTGCATGTTGGGTAACCTCAGCGTATAGGTTGTGTGATGGAACTAGTTGTGGGGGGTCTTGGGTGCTCAGTTCTTCATTTCAAGCCCTGGGCTTGTGTAGCATCTCAGAGAGGGGGGACATGATTTCCTGTCTTCCTTCTCCCTTCTCCACCTAATCTTTCATTTTATTAACGTCATTTAGGCCCAGAGAATGATAATGACTGGCTGCTTTTAATTCATCAATTAAAACTCATTCAAAATTAAGTTAATTTTTAAAAAATTCTCTAGTCAACAATTTAGTATTGGGCATTTTGAATTGAGTTAGTTTTTCTACTTAAGTAGCATGTAGCATTTTGAAAGAGAAACTCCAGCATGTGTAATTCATTTGCAGATAGGTAATTGTGAGACACTGTGTGCTCACATATTACTAAATTGTTTAATTCTTCCCACTGGGTCAGGTTGACTTTAAAGATAGGTAAAAGATGTCTTGGGTCTTTAAAGCACATTTACCTGAAAGCAAGAGCAAGGAAGAGAATTGTTTTGAAGGTAGTATCTTGGGGTAGCAGGAGCAAATCCTATGAAGACCTGAGTTCAAGTCAGGTCTCTACCACCTACCTGCTCAAAGCCCATGGGTGAGACATTTAAACCTCTCTGAGCCCCAGTTTCTGCATTTGTAGAATGAGATTTACTTTTGCTAAATATTAAATGAGATAATGTATGAAAATGCCTGTCACTTATTGGATACTCAACACATACCATGTTCATTTTGTCCTCTTACTTCCCTCCGCACCTAGCAAATCCTTAACCTCTTGCTCACTGTAGTGTTTTTGCACATCTCCACATGGTGGTATTCATGCAGGTGAATGGGTGGTGAAGGAAGCTCGGCCCAAGGTGAATTGTATGGGATGTGGGAGGTCACTGGACCTCTGGTGTGCAGCCTCACTGCTCATGCCCCTGACCCTCTGGGAAGAAAGATCTAAAGAGCATTTGCTGCCATGTTTCCTACTACATTACTTCCAGTATCTCTTTTATTCTTCAATGTGATTGTTTCCTCTTAAAGTTGGGAAAGTTGAGACTTGAGAAGTCATGCATCCAGAAACGGGTTTTGAATTAACATGACCAAAGCCCACATTCTCCTTACTAGAGTGGCCCACCTCTCTGAGGCACAGTCACTGACCTCAAAGAACATGTGCTGTTGGCAAGGAAGCTTAGACTTGTACTTATTGTAAACATGGACTGCTTCCTGAGCGAAAGACTGGGCTCACTGCTGGAAATACACTGATGAATGAAATATGCAAACTCTGCCCTGCCCTTGTATGACTGATCATTTAGTGATTAACAAAATCTGCTATGACCTGTCAGAACTCGTGCTAATCTGAAGGGGGGGTTATCTAAGATCATGGCATCAGGTCCCATCACTTCATGGCAAATAGATGGGGAAACAGTGGAGACAGTGGCTGACTTTATTTTTCTGGGCTCCAAAATCACTGCAGATGGTGATTGCAGCCATGAAATTAAAAGACGCTTACTCCTTGGAAGGAAAGTTATGACCAACTTAGAATATTAAAAAGCAGAGACATTACTTTGTCCACAAAGGTCCATCTAGTCAAGGCTATGGTTTTTCCAGTGGTCATGTATGGATGTGAGAGTTGGACTATAAAGAAAGCTGAGTGCCAAAGAATTGATGCTTTTGAACTGTGGTGTTGGAGAAGACTCTTGAGAGTCCCTTGGACAGCAAGGAGATCCAACCAGTCCATCCTAAAGGAGATCAGTCCTGGGTGTTCATTGGAAGGACTGATGCTG